ATAACGGGAATGAGCGGTGCAAAGGGACCATGGCCACCTCACAACTCCGAACGAAAAGATGAGAAGTCAGGACTCACTTTCCTGAACCCTGACTTCCGAGTCGGTGTGAAGATGACTGACCCCGCTAATCGGCTGATATGGGAACAAGCAGCTGTGCAGGTTCATGAAGCTATTTGTGTACGTACCTTGAAGGCAATACTGGCATGGTAGACTGCAAATTACTTTCTAGGCTCCTGACAAAAAGCCCTGTTTCATATAAAGCTATAAGATCGTCAACAACCAAAGCCATGAGATGTTGTAGTTGTTCCGTTGAAGGCTCTTGTGGTCCAGGTGTCATTCCGGCATGTAGGAGATTACTCGTACGATAGCTAGAATTTCAAGAAATCATGAGTCAATCAAACAAATTTATCCGACTCGCATGCACACCGAAGTTCCGGGGGGAGATTTGCACAACAAAATGATAAAACACCACTTGAATGAGTCGGTGCAAAGACACTACGACGGCATGAAAACCTTTTGAGAAAATGATTAGGAAGAATACTGTCACAAGAATATGAAAGACGAACCAATCTAGACTTAATGTCACTCCTAAACGAAGCTCACCTGTATCCTTGTTGATACGGAAAAACTCCTTCCCATCCTTGTCCTTCATCTCTTTCCAAACTCTGCCATCCATGATACTCGTATATGCACCCATATTTCGATGAGTAGACCCCCACTGTTCGACCTCAGCTTCTATGTCGCTTCGTGATAGAAACCCTGCGAGGAGTGCTGAGAGGGGTGCCACAGGCATAACAACCTTCGGTTTTGCTACCTTCTGCCCTTTCCCCCATATCAACCCCTGGAACGCGTCCACAAAAGAACTCCGATAAAGCGGAATTTCGCAGTGTGGACAGTGGCGAACATTTTCACCATGAGGGAACAGTTGCCAACATCTCTCACAAAGTACAAAGATTTTAGCGGGAAGAGACATGCGCAATCGGTTCAGAACTGTTTTGAGAGTTACCGGGAAATCATCAAAGCATTTGATGATACGGAGTTCAATCAGAATCTTCCGAAAGACCCATAGCAGCAGGTTGCATGCACGGACTCCAACGTGGTGGTGAAGATTGAGAAAACAAACAAGAAGAAGAAGGACGCGGATGATCCAAGAATCAGAGAGGCTCATATATCTCTCGTTGGGTTGAGACACAGCATCGTGACTAGCTTCGGTGGACATGTCATATAAATGAACACTTGAAGAAGTAGCCGTCGAAAACTGTACAGGAGGGGGCCTAGGGGCACTTCCATCGTGAGTTTGAGGGGCCGGAATAGGTGCTCCAGTCAAGCTTGTAGGCTGAAAACTGATCAAGTGGGGCACTTCGGGAGTATCAACATTCGAAGGGGTGATGAAGAGGTCGCTATGATCGCTATCCTCATCAACGATATCATTGCTAGGAAAGGGGATGTTGGTATTAGGTGTGCTATTGGAAGCCACAGTGAAGAAGCTAGTGGGTATTCCGTGAGCCAATTCTACAAGATCACAGAGAATGGTAGACCTCATGTGACATACCTTACATGGGGACATCGAGAGGACGAAGTGGAACTCCAGGAGGTTCCCCGTACTCGTTGTTGTCGAACATTTCAATATCTGGTGGCAGAGCACGGAAGTATCCAGGTTTGGGACCTGTGCCGGTGCTCGAAGCAGAAGGCTCACTGGCAGAGGAGCTGCCCGCTTGTGCAAGAAATAGCACGCCAAAGTCATTAAGCGATGCCTTTTTAGTATGACTGAGACGCACCATGAATATCCAAATTCGTTAACATTTTACGCTGTTTTCCTGTCCCAGCGGCAGCCAATATTCGTGTACGAGCCCTAGACGAGCCCCTTGATACATTTTTGGCATTCCTCAAGTGTGAGTCTCGAGTCGTTGGAGGGACCCATGTCCCTGGAATTGACCCTTGCTTTGTACATACGTTGCACTCACAAAAGACGTCTCCAGCAGTTCTCGGCATCACATGATACACAGTGCCCGATGGTGGACACAAAAATCAAACAGATAGACACAAGCCAGCTGCCGTTTGGTTGTTGCAGTGGTTGGCTTAAAACCTAAGAGGTAACTTCCCGAAATGAACTAAGGTGATGCGCAAAGCTGTGTAGCATGACGCTTCTGATTTTCGCATATCTAGTTTCGTTCGTGCAGCTCCAATTACGGATGAATCCAAAATGCTCAAATATTTACATATCAGAATCGGTTCAAATATCTCCGAGTACATCCAAACAGGTACCTACTGTGGATCCAAAATTTTGACCCCTTTACGCAGTGAATAAGTCCGATCCAATGCATCGAAAAGTGAAAACAGTGGTGGAGGAACTAGAAAAATGATTGGACGTGTACTGGATGCACTAAACAACTTGGCTAATATCGACGACCACTGGGGCTTTCAGCTTTCCCTGGAGCAAAAATCGAGTTCCATCCTTGCTCGCCCGAGGAAAATATATGCTGCCTGGATCTCTCCTAGCATCACCCTTGGGCATCAGATCGCCGTACCAAGCTTGTTTCTCGGTGAAAGAATTTCCGGACCGTATGGTCGGGGCGTAGGCGAATGGAATCTTGAGTTCGTTTTCCCCATTGAACCAAATGCCTCCGTCGTCATCAACTAGTGGGATCCTTCCCATTGCGGAAGAATAGACGTTAATGCGGTTTCGGCGAGTTGGTATGCCGGGTGAGAGATCGTAAAAGGGGCGCTTCAACCAGGATTCATCCATATCATGCCCTAACTCTCGCTTGGTGCTTGATGCACGAGTTGCACCACTATCTGGAATCAAAAGAAGAGCAGGGTTGCACGATACAGGCACAGGGATGTCATGCAGGCGAGGGGGTTCAAGACCAGTGTTGAAAATCCAAGTCCTGAAATTTTGCACGCGATATTGAGCCATCCATTTGTGTGAACCTGTTGACCAGACGAACGCACAGTTTCTGTCGTAAGCGCCAACATATCGGCTCCCTGGAGAGAATCGAACTGTGTAGCATTGAGGGATGGATAGATCGGAGTGAGATTGGGTAGACTGAGCAGGGGAGGGGGTGGAAGGAGATGCAAGGAGTTGAACGGATGGCTCGCCTGAAAAACGTAAGAGTGCCATGTTCTCGTACCAAGCCTGGCGGAGATTTTGTGGGACTCGTATGATGAAAGATCCATCGTTCGACACCGCAGTTACAGCAGGGAAACAACCACTGGGGAGGGTGCCGAGCTTCGCCACACTTGTTCCAGGACCGAGAATAGTGATGTTTCCATCAGTATCCTCAGCGGCAATCTGACAGTTTCCACCACAGATAAACTCGATCCAAACCGGAGGCTTGGGAGGATTGCATTGGAATCGAGAAATTATGCGCTGTTGGTCGATGTCGGCAACCTCAATGACCCCGTTTCCAAAGCCAAGGGCGACATGAGAACCATTTTGGGAGATTGCTGCACAGGTTACGATTCCGTTGAGAACATCATGTTCGGCGAACTCGGCTTCGTAGTTAGTTTTTTCCAGGCCATATTTATTGAACTTCTTTGGCAGTTCAGTCAGTTTTGCCTTCATGACCTCTTGAGCCACACGTGCATCCTCACTCAAAGGAATAAAACCACCGGAAAACTCGCCGGATACAGTGAAGACTCGAACGGGATCTGAGAGATTGCCATAGAGTTCATAGAGGCATGATGACGACGGAGTGAATGGAAGGCCTGATCGATAAACATGCCAAGGATCGGCGTCGGAACCCAACCTCCATATAAGATTGAGCATCTCCTGTACCAGCGCCATTGATTTGTGGTTCTGCAACGCAAAGAATGATGTCATATAATTGAAATACGTGAAACACGATTAATTTAGAACCCACATGTGCACTCAAATTCCATTCCTTCAATAAATGAAATGTCCCTAACACACCCCGTCTGCCCGGGAGCCATGAGAAGAATGAGAGTAAGTTATTTGAAAGTAATCGTTCAAATTCTCTTTGCAATTCATTAGATTCTTGTGAAACGAGCAGCGAAGGGTCCAAGTGAGAAAACAAGTGCTCGAGCACATTTTTGACAACTCTAGGTGTCTGCTTGCTCTGAAAGAGCTCCCACTTCCTTCTGTCTCCCAAAGGGAGTTCGGTGGGGATGCCAAACTCATTCTTCTTCATGACATCATTGACAAATCGAAGAAGTCGTAATCCAATGCTATACCCCTTGACATCATGAATAAAGAATACTTCATCTTGTTTCTCACCGATAGGATCTCCTGTAATGAACTCCTTTGCCGTTGCGTGGTAGAACTTGACAGTCTGCTCATTGTCTGAGGAAAGATCAACTATCGAGCTAATGGGTTTTAGTATTGAGTGCACTTCATCTTCAGCAATTTCTAGGAGTTGCGATATGTCGTTAGTGCCAAGATCACTCCAGGTTGCGGTAACAAGTATCCCAACTACTTCGCGATAGGTCTTGGCCACATGTGGACGGACACTGGATGAATTCGGCATGTAGGCTCGTCGCATGATTCGCAAGTACTCCGACTTCAGATCCATAGGTACTTCGATAAGATTACGAAAATATTCGAACTCCGATTTAAGAGTCGAACCGCAGTACCGAATCTGAACCTTCGCATCACGTATTCGGGTTGAAGCCATGATAGGCAATCCACGGCAACCTCTCGCAAAGACATCAAGATCTTCGTCAGATGGTTTCCACAGGGAGTTTTCGATAAATTTGTGAAATCCTTCGTCCACCATGCAACGGATGGTGTGGAAAGTGTCCCATTCAATCTGATCCACATCTTCAAAGGGGACCATAAGACCCTGATCTCGCACTCTGGTCCAAGCCGAAAGGACTGTGAACTCCGGCCGGCAGCTAACAAGTACAGCAAAGGGCGAGGGCAGCTCGCGAAGTAGAAGCACGAGCTCCATCAGGGAGTCAAGTTCCTCGGGACCCCCGCACTCATCCAAGCCATCCAAGATGATAGAAAAGCGTTGGCTACCTTCAGACAACGCTCCCTCAAGACCATTCATCGGTTCAATGACCAGGGTCCGCATCTGCTTCTCCAGAGAAAGCTTCAGAAACAATCTCATGTCTGGCCGCCGAAGGCATTTGACGAGTGACACTTTGAAGTCTGCACTGAAGAGCGCAAGTTGGCGTGCAAGGGTACAAGGGAACAACTCCAAAGAATCGAGGCCTGTTCCCTTTTGGTTTTTGTCCCAGAAGAATGAGGCTGCGAGAGCGCTTTCCCCCTCAAGCATAGATGCAATGCTCATACTTATCGCCGTCTTCCCGGTACCGGGGGATCCGCGTAGCCAGACAAATCGGTTCTTGGCATCTTTCAGATGTCCGAGAATCGATTCCCGTATGTTGTCCCGTGTGCTTGGAAGGCATTCTGACTTGCTTTTCACGTAAGTGTGCTCGGCCGCGACTTCCCCAAGCCGTTTAAGTTCAGCTAAAAGGAAGGGTTGATGAAAGACCCCAAGAATGAGCTTGGAAACGTACATTGCACCGATGCTTCGATTGTACGAAGCAGCGTTAAAGTAGTTGCCTGAGTCTGTTGGCACGCAATCAGTCAGTGTGTAGGGCACTTGAACACCTCCATAATGGAAACGAACCGAGAAGTTGTTAATGGCATCATTTATACACGTCTTCACATCGCTTATCCTCGTGGCGATTTCGGTTGCTAAGATCGTCCTCTTCACGGGACCTTGATTATTGAGTGCATTAACCTCTTTTATTTGTGCTTCCAGGGCCCTGTCAACAGGAATATCGAATCAAACGCGTGGCAAAGGAGGCAGGTGGACGTACGAGTGAAACCCCCTGACGAAAAAAATCACTTCATCGGGTATACGGTCAGTCGACAGCGCGAGTGGCTGCAAAATGGTGTCGTAGGCTTTTCGGATGTCATCGTCCAATCCTTTAAGACTTTCGTCGTTTCCACCGACAGTCTGTCCAAATCATATCACAAACATTGGGAGTGAACAAAGTATCCTCACCGACCCCGGAAACGGAAAGATGATCTCACCTCGTAGACATCGAGCCACTTCAAAAGCAAGTTCGGGATTGCATCAAGATTCGGAATCGGAGCAAATTTGAGGGCGGAAGTCGCATTTTGGAGAATGAGTCTAATAACGCCGATGATTACATCCTGTCGATCACTGCCTGAGCTGGTCGATGGTGTGATCGCGTGTTCCGATAAGGGGGGCACGTTAATACCCTCGCGTTCCAATTGTGCATGAACGCTCAGGCCATTGTCATGTGTGGCATACGAGCCAGATGTTTCATGAGAATTATCAATATTTCCCCCACGGGCGAGGGGAAATGAAGGAAGTACTGCATCATTAGCGGACAGCTGGAGGGGCGTGTCTGGCCTGGATTGTTCAACGAGATTGGGGGCACTAGGCCTGCTGCGATGAGGGCTCAATTTCCTACGGGCACTTCCGACTAGACGACGCATAAACGATTCCGATTTCTTCGAATCTCTGTCAATGGAAAGCACGGCCTGGACGGTCACTGTGGGCTCAAGATAAGACTCCGTCGGCAACCCGTGTCGATCGCTGTGAGTGTTGTCGTGATCTCGGGGTATCTGCGCATCAGTGATATTGATCTGGGGAACACGAGGCGACTCGTAGGAAGTCGAGGGGCCCGGGAGCGGCGGTTGTAAAGATGAGTCGGGAGCGGAATGATTTCCTTTGTTACGTTGGGGGATGATTTTGAACGGAATTTTCCCAGACATTGCACTGGCGTAGTGGGAAATAGGGGATGCCCGTGTGGAGGAGTGAACGAGAAACAGCTCAGTCGCCACGCGCACATGATGCGTATGAACCCAAGGAATGAATTATTTGAAGGGGGCAGTACCAGCTCAGATTGGAAATTGCAACGATGGAAATTCTTACTTGCCCAGATAAGGGCAGTAATTCGGAGGTGGCTTGAAATTGAAGGTAGGCCGCAGCTATGTGAACCCGCACACAGCAAGCTTGGCATTATCATTGGAAGAGACGGCGATGAAGCAAGCAGTAAATATAACACAGAGGCCGTGCAGCCGAGCGAGTGGCAGCTGGGCCAAGTAGGGTCTCGCGCGTCGGCATGAATGTGTTTCGGTTAAACCCGCCATGGAAGCTCAGAGTCAACGCAACCATTCCATGTCCCAATGCGTCTTGGGAGAACACCACTGTGTTGTCCCTGTTACACAGTATGCAAGGCTGTTTTGCGAGCGAGGAGAAAGTCCTTCCCAGTAACGAGCTAGATGACCATGTGTCTCACCCCATTGCATCATTCATCCCCTGGGATTCATATTTGGCCCGAACACGGGCTCCTAGTGACGATATGATCGCCCTTCAAGATTTTCTTTGCTCACTTTTAGATCAGAGCAATTGCCAATCGCGGGAGTCCCTGTTGTTTGAGCAAGACATGACGACGCGCCGGTACGCATATCATGCCCATATCGGCTATCCGATATGATACCCTTTTTCCATGTGTTTCGTGTTTCACTGTTGATTGCCTTCCACATGTAGCGCTGTCGCGTATCTCATTTTCTTATCACTTTTGTCTGATATCCGTGTTATTACTTTAACTACTTATACCGCTGTGCGGTTACAATATCAAGTTAGTTGTTCCCCGTTATCCGAGTGTCCCCGCTGAGAGCTACATAACAACAGTCCCTCAACCCCGTCATGGTTAGCGCCAATCAAACAATGTTTCTGTCCAATCGTCCTACTATTCATACATTCTGGAACCATGAACTGATTGAGCATGGTTATCGCGCTTGCTGGCAATCTCATCGTCGATCCATAGCATTTTTGGCCACCCCAAGTAATGGTCACTCTGCTGAATCTGTTCTCGGCTCTGACACTGCTTTCCAATGGAGTGGCACAGTTGCCAGTGATTTACTCGAAGCGTCCACTTATTCAACAACCCTTCGTTCATCCTTCGGGTTAACACCTGGATCATTTGCTCATCGGTAAGGATTCAGCGAATGAGCTGTTGGGGGTCGATAATTCGTCCTAGGGCGTACTCTTCGTTCTTACTGAAGTCACACATTTGCTCTGGGAATGCTGTCTCAAGTGCAGTAATTTCTCTTCAGGTATCCTGGGCGCTGTTCGCTGAGTGGGCATTCACAGTCTGGTCGTGAACTTCGGATGAGGGGGTTTGATTGGAGTTTTATTCGGCGACATGTTCACTCCACGCAATTTATAGCGACGGGACAAAATATCCCACCAGAGTCGGGGCAGCCCTGGTTGTGAGACTATATTAGATTTGCGTTTCGGACCTTCCGATAGGCTGCAAGCGTCGGTGATGCAATATCAAGGGCTTCGCGTGTTAAATTTTCTCAGGCTTGTGATCGAAAGGTATATCGTATTTTTTTCCCATATTTCTGTGAGCAAGAGCGTGCCCGGGCCCTCAATCAGGCATTTTCACACCAGTGGCGACGACTCACGTCTGGACTGGCCTCATAAGGTGCGGACGCTTTCATCTGGCTTGGAGCCAGGCCGGAAGCAAACTTAGGATTGCATGAAGATTCGGAATCGGGACGGACTTAAGTGCGGAAGCTGCGTAGCGCCGATGATTACTTCTTTCGATCACTGCCTGAGCTGGCTGATGGCATTATCGTGGGTGGCATATGAGCTGGATGTTCTACAAGAATTGTCAATACCTCTCTCAGGGGCGAGGGAAAATAAGGGAGGCGCCACATCACTAGCGGACCTTGGGAGTATCAGGCTTGCTGCGATCAGGCCTCAGTTTCCTACGTGCTCTCCCAAATACACAAGCCATAAAAGATTCAGATTTCTTTTTTCTAGACATCGCGCTAGCGTATGTAATAATGGGGAAGGATGCCCGGTGGAAGAGTGAACGGAAGACAGTTCGATCACCTGCGCATGACGCATATGAAATGCTTCTGTAGAAAGAAGCTGAAGGCGGAGGGTTTACTGCACTGCACCAGTGAGTGGACAAGTCTCGTCCAATTTACTTTGGTCAAGAATTGCAACGTCCGAAGCTCTGCCCAGCGTCTTGATATGGTCCCCCCCGCTCTGCAGGCCCCCACTACGCGCACTCCTTTTGGGCAGCGTTAGGATTCTCTCTGGATTCCATGTCAGTCGCTGCTCAAGTGGCCTCCTTGAATTAAAAGAAGAATCGTTATCGTACGGAGAATGCATAGTGTGAACCGACAAATTTCTATATATACACTTTTCTTTTTCGAAAAAGTTCATGTCTATGGGTTGCTTCGGCATCGAAGCGGAATAATTATGTCTGAATACCCACATGCATCCAGATCATGAACGGTTTGACTCGGATGCAATGCTGCCACGAATTTCGGAGGTCCCATTTTCGTGGTCTCTCTCAGCTCCTCTGCTATCACTCACTTCCTTCAGAACTCTCTTTGATATAAACACAACCAGCAAACCGTCGACAACCTAATGGATAACACTCTTTGGAACTTCCCTGACGAAACATTGCATAACGGTAACAGCGTTACGCCCGGCTACACAATATCTGGTAAGCGAGTGAAATCCACAATATTAACGCGTCATCTTGCCTCAACGTCTCACTCTCCATTTTACGGTCCCGACGACGCCATAGATGTTGGCCATCCGGAGGAAGCTGACATCCACCAAGCTATCAGAGGTGCCTAAGTACCTAAGCCTAGGGATGCCGCGGTTCGGTTCGGAGGGCGCAACCGAAGGTCCCAAATCGCAAACGCGATAACAGGTTCGCTCACACTCTGGTGCAGTTTGAGGATGATTGCATTCGAATCTGGGTTATGACCAATTCGGTTCGGCTCCAAACCGAACCACGGCATCCCTACCTAAGCCCTCTCCGACTCAACGTTTTATCATGGTCTCATTGCATCAAATGCTCTTAGATACACCCTCAAGGATATTTAAAGCCGAATTCACCGAAATAGAGACGCCTCGAACCCTTCAATCTCTTGCGCCACAATCCAGCAGTACGCGTCAAAATCGCAAAATAGACGAGTAGAATTGGTGCCAATCTATGTTCCCTGTTTGTTTGTTTTTTCAAGGGAAAAAATGGAACCCCGATGCGATCCCGCGCTCTCCTTCGCGAGAAATAAACCTCAGCGAATCCACATTCACCAAAGGTGAATCAACTCTACCCAGCTTTTCGGCCTACTTATGCAGTTATCACTTCCCGCATTCACATCAGACGATTTTATCTCAGTTTCAGCGAGAAAGTCCGAAGAAGATGCTCGCGGTGAATCTACTTCTCACCTCCGATACCCCGATTACCTCAGGAGCTAATATACCATTAGAGAATATCGCCACTATCTCGGTAGAGGACTATGAAGAAGCGGGTCTTGGAGCAATTGCGGCCCCTGGTAGGACTCGACCTCCAATTGTGTTGAAGATGCCCATACCTGTGTCATTCCATAGGAAAGCATTGGGGTCGAAATAGATCTCGGTACGGAGCTCGTCGGAGATCACGTCTTTCAGTCTTGGAATGTATGTTTTTGATGATTCCTCCGTATCTATTCTGAGAAATCCAAAACCCGCAGTACACATCGATGTAATCTGCGTGGTAAGCGCAAATCTGATCTTCTGTCTTGGCCAGCTCCTCTCACTGACAATCATTCTAGATTCTTGACGACCCTGATATCACTTCTCACGATCTCCTCCGACTCGTGATGGTCAACAAAACCTTTCGTTTATTCCTTCTTCGCCCATCGAGTTCGTTCATTTGGAAGAATGTCAGGGATCACCTTCCAATCAAGACTCCTAATCCCCATCCAAGTTTGACGGAGCACACCTGGGCGCAGTTCCTGTATCGTCCAAAGGCTTGCGAAGCGAGTTTTTCCGATAACCCACTATAGTGTCCCAGATCACGTTGTTGCTGACATTTTCGATCAGTGCTGCTCGAAAATTCTCGAGCCGTTGATGGGTGATATATGCTACGCGCAACTATTTGTCACCTGTAGAGACGTGAGTTGTCAGTTTAGCGATTGCAGACACGCTCACCATTCGGCTGAATCCCAGTGTGCGGCAATAAATAGATCCAAGCGGTAGGTGTATACCTGGAGAAACAATTGATCAATTTGTACTTGTTGATTCGTCTAGTGCCATGATGCTAGTGAAGCCACGCCGCGCAAGGAAATTGCAACGATACCTGCTTCCGCACGTGGAAATCCAATATCTTCGTAGTACGACGAACAACTCTGTCCGTCTCCGAATAGACATTAGACCGACTGTGTATATTTTCCTAGGGATACTTGAGCTGGATAGGCTCACCGTTACAACTGAAACGATGTGTCACTTTTATTGCTTCCCTGCCCTAAGGAAGTTCAATGAATTGAGGATGCAATATGGCAACCGTGGTGCAGGCTTTGACGCATATATTGCAGAAAATATTGGGAAATATACGAAAATCCACGAGGTATGTGACACTGAACTAAGCTTAAATTCAATGAATTAACGGCAGTCTTTGCGCTTTTGTGACTAAGGGAGCGGGAGGGTTTCATGAATGGATGGACACAGTTAGGTTAGCGAGGCAAGAAGCCAGCGCCGCAATGGACACCAAGTAAGCCCTCACGGTTCAATCGGTGCTTTGGGGGATTTGTCATTCTATGTCCCGTTCTGTGTAGACTTCGCATCTGGTGTAAGAAGAACAACTGGTCTGTTCGATATGCCCGGGGGTATATCTCCAAGACGCGGGAATTCAGGTATCACGTCGATGAACATTTTTGTCCCATGGATGACCAAAGTAAGCATCACCGCCCGTTCTTTCCCCAGACATCGAAGACTTCGGGGGGGCTGACAAGGACTCTTAAGCCTGGGTGGATTTTGGCAGACGTCACATGGGGAATCTCCGCGCCCACCACATCGAAAGGCTACAAAAACTTGATGAAATCAAGGTGTTCGAATGCGACTGTGATAACTCAAGAACATTCACACCTTCGGGCCTTAGGAACCACTGGTATGAAAAGTCAGTCCATTCCGTGACCTTGGACGAGTTGGTGCGCTGTGCTGACGGGAATTGATGACATGTTCACAGACACTACCAATACTCGTGAGCTTCAAGCGCCTCTTGTCTCTGTTGCATTCGTTTTACTCTGGTGTTTTCTTCTTCGTTATGTACTGCACACTCCTGAGTAATATAGACTTCTGATGTCCAGGAATTGTTAATTGACAGGCAGACTCAAGCCGAGAACACTGCGTTCATGAAACCGTCGATTGAGGGCGGTAGTAGCGATTCTCCAGTAAACGGGAATAAGTCGGTCACAATACAAATGCATTTTAAAGTGAGCGCGAATCGTAGCCGCTTATCTGATAGCAATACATGTATAGGCATTTGTCGAACGATAGCTGCATACGTATGAGAACAATCATGCGTATGGATAGCGCGAAGTTGTGGATGGCGAACCTCTGTTCGCGCCAGCCCGCAGCCTCAGACTTTCCAAATCCTTCATCATTCCGCTCAGTCTATGGCTAACACCACTTGCTGATAGTCGGTCCTTGAGCTCGTGGACGTGCAAGTTGACACCCTCCATCCCACGTGCCAAACTCATTCGATTCAGATTTGCCCATGAGGGAAGGTCCAGGGTTGCAACTCCAATATTGGAATTAACAGGATCAGAAACTGTCTCGCCGCTTAATCCGGTGCCCAGGTCCCACGCACGCTCCAGTTGCCCGCTCCAGTCGCTTCTCATTGCTAAGTAGGGCCGAATGAGTGCAGGATCGATACGGCCGAGGTAGTTCTCCCTGATGTATGTCCTGAGAATCTCCGGACGGACCAGGAAAACGTTGCCTAGTTGTCGAAGGAACTCAAAGCGTTCAGTGAGCAAAGGAAAGTTGAACGAAGCGATGGAATCCTGGTATGATTTCAAATCCCTGTTATGCAGCGCGAAGAAGTGAGTATGCTAAGAAGCAGGCGGAGGGAATCTGATACTTTGCGAGCATGAGACCACCAGTTGCGCTGACCGGGAATTTCTTCATGTGATCAAGCAGCAAGCTATAAGAATGAATGTCATGACGATTTACGGAGTTTAGAGTGACGAGGGAAAGGACTTACGTGTGAAATCCAACACCAATTTCCGTTAAAAAGCCTTCAAGGTTTTTTCCGCTCATATTTTCCCGAGCTGCATCACGCACTTTCTCGAGAGTATCGCAGCAAAGTTCGCACGGTTCAGTGTTGACACGCGCAAACGATAGGTCATCATTCTTGGGTTTAAAGTCTGTTTTCTTCTGCTTGGATAATGAATTCGAAAGATATGCCTGAATGACTGTGCAGTATTCAGTTGGAAGTGCAACTCGCAGAAGGCTGGCAGATCGTACCGTCTGTGAGCTTCCGCACCAGACTAGCAGCAGCCCCTTCCGCTCTGCTAACGGTTTGGTTGTTGTAAACCATCATTTCCCTGCCAAGAGGAAATTGGGTCACGCCAGCAAGCTTACGCAACGTCGTGCTTACCGCCTCAAGGTCACGCTAGTCGCAGTGTGAGACAGGGGCAACAAAGCAATGCCAACGTATTGCTGCCAAAGATGCACAATCATATCTGCTTGTTTGAGAGTTGCCAGGGAAATAAGACGCGGTTCTGTGTTTGATGGAATTGCTGCGAGCTCGGCATTGGCACTGGGTGTGGTTCAGTCCGCGGGATAGAAAGAAATATGGACAGTACCCACGCGTTGATTGCCACTTCAACGTAGCCTTTAATTAAAGCATCAGCGAGCACTTTCATAAGAGCGAAAGCATTCTTCGGACTGTGGAACGGGGTGAGCGACGACGTTGTGTACTATAGATCCACTCACATGTCAGTGATAATGCTAAGCTCCACGCATCTTCCGACAGCCTCGGCGTGCCATTTGAGAACAGTTTCGGCAAGATCCACGCTTAATCTTCCATCTTCTTCCGTTGCTGATTTGGAAGTGGCGTCTTCATCTACTTTGCCATTGTTGGCATCGGTATCAGGTTCGGTCAAAGCATTAGTAGAGCTGGGGCTAGAGACTGCGCCCCTCCATTGACGCCCGATGTTGTTAAGGAAGGCGGCAGAAGCAGACGAGGCTGTTGCTGCCGTTCCGGAACCACCGAACCGATCAAGAAGCTTCATTGAACTTGACGCTACACTGGATGCGACGGTACTTGCGCCCGACCCAGTGAGCGGAAAAGATGAGCCACTGGCGCTGGCTGACTGAGAGCTCTTAACAATGGAAATGAGTCATCGCGTCGTTGAGCTTACATGCCATTTCGAAAACTTGTCCAACAAGCCTGCGCCGGACGCTGCACCAAAGTACAGCTCGTTGAGGTTCTTGCTCTCTCTTTCGATGTATTTGGTCCCTTCGATATAGGGAACGAAAAGCTCCTCCATAGCCGTATCGAGTAGACTTGGGATGGACAGAGTCCCAGCACCGCCACTAAGCAAATGAGCCGCTCCACTCGATGAGTTCGCTGACCCCGTTTGAGGGATTCCGCTTGGTGAAGTTGGTAGATCCGAATCTATTGTCATTCCTCTGCCAACATTTTGTATTAAAGTGGATGCCAAAGCAGAGAAATCGTAAGTTGACTTCAGGTCTTCGATCAATTTGGAAGTGCTCGAGTGGCAAAGGTGCAATGCGCGCAAGTAGGCTAGATTAGACAAAGATCGCGACTTATTGAGTAAGAGCTCAATATACTGCTGAATCTGATTGGTCACGGTGACATTGAGTACTTTCAGCTCACTGTCACCATTATAGTACTCACACACTGAGCAAACACCCTTTGCAAGAAAACACCCATGACCAGAACAGGATGCGGGAACACGGCCTGTACGATTTCATTCTCTTGCCCAACAGTAAATCTTATCTCATTAAAGAGATCCACAAGAACCTTAGAGGACTTGGGCATAGGGTGTGACGGGGTCGGTAGGGTAGCCCATCTGGCAGCCACCCATCAGTAATCCATACGCAATGGGATTTCAAACTCACAGTTCACTGTCATCTTGCGTGTCTACTTCTTCCAGCATTTTTGATTTGCTGATGAAAAAATCGTGCTGATTAACATATATCTGAACGCAAGAAGCCCGCCGTTAAACTCCAGCAGTGTTTGGGCACAGTGCTAGGTGATTGAAATGCACATCAAAGAGAAGCACGGAGTTTCGAAGATTGACAACGTACGCCCATCATTTTTGGGTCACCCTTACGGTAGGATTTGTCGAAGAGCTTGAGCATATCCTTTTCGAAGAGTTCGCAATACTTTTCAATGCGTTTTCGGGTCTGGGTGATTCAGGGGAAATGAGTTTTCATTGTAAATGAGAAAGAGGCCACGCCACCTGCTCTGCATTTGGTAAATCGACTTCGCGAGCTAGAATACTCAGCCGTCTGAGTATAACGGCAACTTTCTGGCGGCCAGCTTTGCCTCCGTCTCGGCGCATTACATCCAACTTCAGTCGGCTCGAGGTTGTATAATCGTTCTCTTCCCCCGGCAGTGACGAGAATTGATGGTAGTACGAGATGAGATCGTGCGTAGCATGTGCCCGCTCACGTGAAGCGTGAAGCGTTTCTAGAGTCTCCCCAGTCCGGACGGCTGACTTCCCGACAAGTGATATCTTGGAGTGCATGCTATTGAATGATTTGTTTACAGCCTGGAGCAGTCGTGAAATGCTTGTCAGTTTTATTGGAGGCGTGTCCTAGGATTATCAAGATATCTACCTCAAAACCTGAGTTGAGTTCACTAATTTTGCGCGAAAAACCTCTTTCGGCATCACGCACGCTGACCTCTAAAGCATCTTTCTTCTTCTGGACGTCTTCCCGGATAGCTAGGAGATTGTCCACAGCAGACTCGAAGGTACGAATGAATGGCGCTGGGTCAAACGCTGGCGAGAGCAGAATGAGAATTTACATGTGCAAGAATATGTCCGAGTTTCTTACACCCTGTGTCCTCTTTTGACTGCTGTATAAGCTTGTCAGATATTGACGTAATGAATTCCTGCAGATCGAAGCCTTCCTGCGCAACACGGTGAGTGACACTGCGGCAAGACAGTTCCAAACATCGTGCCTTAAATGCACTTAAAGTCAAAAGTCCCTGCACGGAGGGGTCGAGGGCAAATATCCCAGCGCTGGGATGTGCCATTGGTGATCGGAGCCGGTTGTCAGGCGTGTGGCTGTGCCGGTTTTTTTTTTAGCGTCAATTGCGTTGGCCAATTGTGGCTCTTCAATCCATGGCTCAGCTCGATGTCATCCTTCAGCACCAGCTTTCGACGGATGAGAGGGCGGTCGCTAACGTTCTCATCGTTGTTTCGCAATTGACGCCGTCTCATCTGAGCTCGCCTCGACTTCTAGTTGCACGTATTCATTCACTTCTCCAAAAGCCAGTTTATCCTGGCGCAAGATGGGCAGGCTTCTGCCTTGCGTATAGAGTCGCGTCTTTGAGCTCCGAGGTACTCACAGAAAATGCCAAATCATGGATTTCATCTGCATTGCCTGCGTTGTCGGTAGGCACGTGTCGCAGTCCTTGCATATCTGCCTAACTTGGCCTTTTCGAAAATTAGAGGGATGAACCACCACCAGTGCACATCGAGGCGATGCGGCTACTGCACCTGATTTTTACGTCGGCCCTCGACATGCCCGAGTTTCACCGTCAGGTGGTCACCCCCAACCTCCAGAAATTCAGCATCGCATTGTTACAACTTGCAGAGAACTTGAACACACCTAATAGAGTTATGGTGCGCGGTTATCCTCGGTTCTGCGCTCTGTGTTGACAAGATTTAGGTCTTCGCGTTCCGAATTTTGACGCATATGGTCTCATCGTTCCCCGCGGCGCATGTGTCACTGACCCCTCGACTTACTAAACTTGCCCTGTTTCGGCTAAGTCGGATTGACGGTCAGCTGCACAACAGCGAATCGCTGTTGGCTTCTTCGTCCGCTATCCTTCTTTCTGCACTGCATATCCCTGGTGGCAAAGCTCGTTCCGTCCTGTTGTGGCGAAAAACTCTTGAGGATACATTAAATAGTATCATTGTGTGCGTCGAAAAATTGAGGACAGCTTTCAAAGTTGAGGCAAAAATAGAAGGTAAGGGACTCAATCGTCTTGGATGTGGACGCTTATCTTGTGATCGCATAGCACCGTTGCCTTCATCCCCGGGACTCGAGCTCCCTACTATCCCGGAAGATGCGTCCCCGGCCCTGGTGATCCCTCTGGTTATTGATAGACTTCGTTCCCTTGTTTCACTGTTGGTCAAACTTCTGAGGTCCTTCTCCCTCTGCTATTTTCGGGATGCATGCTCAAACTTCAATCACATTGCAGTGCGACATCGTCCCGCCCATTAGTTTTACCCCTTGGCCCGATTGCTTCGGTAGTGGACAGGTTGTTAAGCGTCACCACTATGGACCCTCATTCAGTAGGTTCCACCACTCATCTTTAGATATCTTTGACGATATAATTTTATTGGCCCACAACGAAGGATCCACATGTTTTTGTTGACCCGTTACGCCGCTCGATGGAGGTGTCTGCTATTCCTTCGCTCCTGGAAATTGGCTGTGATCTATATATTGCTCTAATCAACAGGTAACGGAACTTCCTCTCGTTATAGAAATTCGACTATAATACTGCCTTATTTAGCACCTCACATCATGTAACCCCGTACATCCCAAAAATTTCCTCCCTGATAGCCTGGCATCTTGAGCAGGATTATCCACCGTGCGTTCATATTAGGGTTGCTTAGCATTCTCTGCTAGACTGATCAAATACATTAAGGACCACCCGGCTTGCACTTCTTCGAGCGGTTTCCATCTCTCTATCTGTTCCGTCCCACATGCACCCGATAGCACACACTCCGTATCTGCCTGGTCGCTTCATCCGCGCTTTACTCGTCCCTATGCTGAAGATCCTTCCCAGTCGCTCAGGGGCTGATGTCTCCCCGCCAAAACCGACTGATGACTATATTCAAGCTAATGGTTCTAAAGGGAACAAGAAAGATAAAGGCGGAACGTTCGAAGGTGATGAACTTCTGAGACCAGGGGCTGTGGGCTCCAAGTGCCTGAATCCTGATGTTCAGGTGTGGCAGGAAGTCCTAGTGTCCCTCGATGGTGGGCCATTAATTAATCCTCATTTTTCGTTAGCTTAATTTTTCGATACAGCGCTCAAACCCCTTCTTCTGATCCCATCTTCAACGTCCTCAGCCATTAAAACTACTTCTGGCCAATCCCCACCCTCATTCGCACCCCTCCAGTCCATTACACTTCGAATATTAACCTCCCTTCTATTAAGTTTGCCGCACCACTCGCATGCCCTCCCCCACCGCCAACAGCTCCATACTGTTCTCGATAAGATAACACAGACTTGCGAGGACGTCATTCTTCGAGATGGGGGTACTGGAGGGGACGAATGGCTGAGGAAGAACCTCAGCATCTTGATCAGGTCTACTGCTAACGCCGCTGCTCACGACCATCGGCAGGTATTTCCTGTCTTTTTTGTTGAAGTCGTGCCATTACTAACTCCGGTTTTTTCAGTCTTCTCTTGTGTCACTAAATCTCCTTCTACACCCTCGTGTCCCCCTCACTTGGGCCTTCCACCTACGTGGTCCTCCTCCTTATCTTCCGCGAGGACTATCAAGGACATTTTGCTCTTCAGAGAAAGCAAGGAAGAACGGGAAGTGAGATTAAGTTTGGGCATATCCTTGGCTGCCGATGAGAAGATGGAAGACACAGTGGAAGGGGCCGCTACCACCGACCAAATTATTCCTGTTTCCCTCGTTCCAAAACCTCTGTGGCATTCGTCTGAGGATGCTACGTATAACGTATTGCACCGATCGATCATTTCGCCCACAATTGAGGAAGATTCTATACTGAATGCTCCAAACATTCCTCGCCCTTGGTCCCCTTCAGTGCCTCAGCCGTTGGTCACTACTGCGGCTCCCGTCTCCATAACGGCACCCACAACCTCCAACCACAATGGCCAAATCCCATTGCTCCCAGAGACAGGCATGGCTGCGATTGAAACAGCACCTAATGTCCCCATCTCACCACGCTCGACTCAGAATGTCTTTCCCGAGGTGTGGACACCCCCGCGACCAGTTCATTCGGACGATTCATCCATGGTTGAAGACGGTCAAACCATCAAAGAGCAAAGGTATAATATGCTTCCTGCACCGGATGGTGAAGACGACGACGAAGTCGGCTCACTGCCGGAAATCATCATGGGTTCTGATGAAGAGTAATAATGCTCTAGTCTACACTCGATACGCAAACATCTATTTGATACGATTTATGCTGTTGTGGGACTACATACTGAAGCTGAGCCTAAGTTACGAATCGATCAGCGCGGGAACCTGCTAGATCGAGTGCGTGAATTCAGCATCGAGCAATCCAGAACGAGGTCACCATCGTAGCTGTCCCAATTTATTCATGGAGCAGAATTTTGTCGAAAAACTTCAAGCGAGCTTACAATTGGACGCCATCACAGCATACAGCTACCTCACTGCAAAAAGTGTTCCTTGGTTCATTCGATATAGGAAGACACTGCAACCCGATGAGACCTGCGCTTGAGAGACCAAGATACCTCTGGAGTATGTCAATCATAGCAGGATGGTCGTGGGAAATGGCCTTCCTGCAGCACCGTCGGCGCTAATCGGACAACTTATCAAGAGAGTATATATTAAGCAGCAATACAAGCTCACCCCCGTGACACAGCGTGCTTTCTCCGCTGGTTTATCGGCACCTCTCTTTTCATGTTGTTGAGTGCCCGAATCCCTCAACTGCATAGCCCTTGCAGCCACCGAGAAGGAAGTAGGAGGGCTTGGGAGAGCCGAGACTAGGTTGCTCGCCCTAAGTGTATCAGAGGGCCGGAGGCTGTCCAAGGGATGTATCCAGTTCGTTTCACGAGAGGTCACCTTTTTACTCGTGACTTTAGCCGGAGAGATTGGCTCGGTTACTGAGTGAGGCGGAGAAGCAGCATAGTGAAGTGTCTCAGGACATAAGCTTCTAGTAGAATCGTGATTAGAATCATATTCAACTTCGTGACTGCCACAGCGGAAGGACTGAGTCGCGGAAGTCAGAGGTGTACGCTCTGCAGGACGGTATGTAGATGTTTGTATTCCCTGAGTCGCGGAGAAATATGTGGGGTTGCCTCTGTGCTCCGTAGAACCTCCTTGTAATTGGTTCGAATCGGAAGGTATAGCCGCTCTATTGGCTATCGATAGGTGATCATGTATTTGATAGTACCGTGAAAAAGCAGTTGGGGTATGTACACCACCAAACTCAGGCTGAAGGATGAGAGGGGTGTCAGGTTCAGAGTGGTGGTGGCCAGAGGAAGTCGCCAATTTGCCAATGGACGCGTTTTGACAAGTCGGAATGCCACGCGTGGTACGCGTAACAGCAGGCCCTGTAAGAGCAAAGAGTAAATAACGAAGGCCAGGGTGAAGCATGATAATAATCAGCGAGATACGACGCGTTCGAGTTGCAACTGATGAAAAACCATCGCGATTGCAGGTCCCGGGTCAAATAAGCATCAACGAAAAACAGCTCGAATGCTCTGGCGCTTATGCGCAAACATAATTCACCGCACCCGGCCTCGCCTGGCCAAGGAGTTCTCCACTTTTGTCTCTGACCCCCGGTGGCCGGGATGGCAAGCGGTCATCGGGATTGAGGTGCACGCACAAATTAGATCTCGAGCCAAGTTATTTTCTCGTCAGTAATTCCCATCTCGATGAAGGTGATCAAGGCGTTTTAACCCAACTCATCAGCATCTAGTAATTCCCAGGACATCTCTCCGAATACCCACGTCTCCTTATTTGATGCTGCTTTTCCCGGGACTTTACCCGTGTGTTATCCTTCGCCCTTCCTGTGCAACACTGTGTTCAAGCCTTGCTTCAGGTTCTCAACAGACGATGTGTAGATCTCGCTGTGCGGACGGCTCTGGCACTAGGCTGTGATATTCATGAACGCTCTTCTTTCGATCGGAAACATTATTTCTATGCCGACCTGCCCAGCGGATATCAAATCACGCAAAAGTATGGTACGTCTAGATTCCCCCGATCTTGCTGCTGAGTCGCAGATTATCAGAGCCCTTCTTAGCTCCACTCGCGCGGAATGGACGCGTTTCCGTGGACGACACCGGTCGTATTGTTCGTATTGAGCAGATACAGCTCGAACAGGTGATCCGTCTTCTCCCCTTTCCACCGATATAGCTGTTCATACACCGCAATTAGGATACAGCGAAGTCCACAAAATCGCCGGGCGCCGAATTTTGGCATATAGATTTGAACCGTGCTGGCGTGGGCCTCATGGAAATTGTATCATTACCTGACATGCGGTTGGTGAATCATGTCCCCCGTTGTGCGTATTATGGCTTGATGCCGTATGCATTGGTGTAGCACTCCTGAAGAAGCTGGAGCATATGTCCGCAGCCTCCAGGCCGTGCTTCGAGCAGTTGGAGCGAGTGACGGGAAGATGGAACAAGTTAGTGGAATTCCTCTCGTTGTCGGCTCCTGCGTGATGATATGTTCAAGGGTTCATTGCGCTGTGATGTCAATGTGTCCATCAATAGGGAAGGGAAACCCTTTGGCACGCGTTGCGAAATCAAAAACTTGAACAGCGTCAAATTCCTCATGTCTGCCATCCGTAGGATGATTATCAAAATTTCTCAGCTGCGTAACTGACTTCGTCATTAGTCTCAGAGGTGCATCGACACATTTCGCTCCTATCTTCCGGCCGCTCCGTCGCTCAAGAAACTCGAGGATTTGATGAAGAACCCGTGGAGACCTACACTCTGCGCAGTAAAGAAGATGCACCAGACTATCGATACATGCCCGACCCTAATCTCCCCCCTCTCATCCTAACGGAGGTTGGGATACGGCTTTCCAAGAGTAGAACCTGTGGTTGACCAAATTATGCTTACAGGGCTATATCAAACAAATCGCAAAATCCATGCCCGAACTTCCGCATGCCATTCGGTCCCGATTGCAATCACAATATGGCATCAGCGCCCGAGACACCGATATTCTGATGTCAATTGAGTCAGGCACCGATGTTGGATTTGACGGTGAACCATCCAAAGGCGGAGCGGTGAGCTACTTTGAGCAGGTAGCAAAACATTGCGACCCTAAAGTGGCAATTAACTGGCGCGTCCCATGTGTATTGTGGGAATTCTGATGTTGACGCGCGTCACATAGGATCACACATGAGCTTGTAGGCCAACTGGTGTTTCGAGACGAACCATTCAGCGCGAACCCAGTCACCGTCACGGCCATGCGCGATGTCCTCTCCTTGTTGAAGAACAAAACGCTCACAGGTGAGTGTTTGTGGACAGTTTCAACATTGATATCATCTCTTTCTCACAGCAATTGGTTTTGTTATATATCAGGCACTTCAGCGAAAACATTGATCCGCCATATTCTCAATACCAAGACGACGAAACCGGTTGCGGTACTCGTGCAAGAGTTATCTCTCCAAGCTTCCTCGCCAGAGTCCCTGGAAAAACTATGTCAAAATGCCATCGATGCCCTCCCTCAGGAATCCGAGGCAGTCCGTAAGGGAAACCAAAGAGTTCTCATGAAACTTGTTGGGCGCGTCATGAAACATAGTCGAGGCACAGCGAACGCCAAGGACGCAGCGGCTGCGTTGAAGCAAATGCTGTCATGATCAAAAATGAAAGGTAAGTCCCCAATAATGCATAGATTTTGCTCTTATCCAATCCAACAAGCAAATTGTCAATTAACGGTATGTCCAACTCAGTATCGTGATCCAATTTGCACCTACGAAGTAGTCTGGAACGAATGAAAATGCACCAACACCAGAAAAGCTAAGGAATGAAGGCTAGAGTCCAGACCATTAAGAATAGGAATAGGAGGGTAAAGAGGGATTGGATTTCGCAATATGTCGAGTGGAGACAACTCTATGAGAAATAATGGACAGACAACGAGTAGGAGAGGACCAGGCGGATAAAGTGACAGCATGAGATAGTAATGATACACGAAAAACACTGGTGCAGAAAGAAAAAAAAAGGGGACGAGAAAATGTCTAGGGCATGCTAAGAGTACCTTTTTAGATACGCCGAGCGTGGAACACCATGATGTGGCCGCGACAGGTACCAATTTCTGAGATACCAGGATCCAATGAGCGCAACAACGATTCCCAATGGTATGCCCAGGCCCAATCCAATTTTTGCGGCAGTGTTCTGGGCTGTCGATTTTCCCTCCTTGCCTGGCCCCCCGCTGCCTGGCCCCCCACTGCCTGGCCCCTCCTCACCTGGGACGTTGGGCGATGGCTGGCCACCAAAGGGCCAAAAGTCCCCATCAGTGGGCATGATGCACGTTAAGGAATCCCCATCAGATACTCGCACAATAGATGATTGAAGATCACAATCCACGACACTGTTCTGATCTGCAACGAAGGGCTCTGGAGTTGGGGTGTTGTCTGTTGAACTGCAATTGGGTCCACGAGACCCAATGAAGGAAGTGTTGTCGAAAAGGACATTATTCTCCACTGTGAAGTTGGTAACAGCACTCATCGCCATGGCATAACCGAACTAATAGGAACATTGTTAGAGGGTAGATTGATATACACTCTTGGACCTCACTTACTCCTCCGGTAAACTGGTTGTTATATACCGAACCACCGAAACTGACGTTCAGCCCGTATCGGTCGCCGAACCAGGTACGTGGGCCCATAGCAATCCCAATTCTGTTCATAAAGCCAACGTCAGCATAATGAGTAGACCAAGCGACCTGATGCGACGAACTTAATGATTACAGTCTCGTTGTTGTCACCCTTGGTTGCTCCCGGTAGCTCGGGAGTAGTGGCGAACCCGCCGCGTATTGTATTGTCTCGCACAATAACGCCAGTGTAAGTCCCCAGAAACGGTTCGTAGTCGACCATGTTCTGGAACCAAAATGTGAGACAGATATGCTCAAAAAAAAGAAAGGCTGGCGCTCAGGAGACTCACGATTCCGCCAAGCAAAGTGTTGGTCTCGACCCATATCGTATTGTTCTCGACGAGCGTTCCAGGACTTCCAAAGATAACAATCCCTCCGTCTGTAGGATTGTTGATCCAGTTCCCATGCACATAACTGTTACGGCAGCTCAAGCTGATACCATCCGCCCATTGCTGTATTAAAGGGTTTCACCTTGATTATGACAAACTGGCTGCTTACATACCTGGAAGGCATCACTGCCACATGGGCCTATAAAAAGAAAAGCAACACAAGTTACATAAATTTGGGCATCAATCAAGAGAAGACGTCTTACCAATGTCATTATACCGTACTGTTGCGTTCATGCAGTCCAGCGCACCCTCCATGACGTGCAGACACGACCACCCTCGGGGATCGAAGGACTTGACGTATTCAATCAGCTGGTCAGAATTTGAACCTCCCATTTCGATGTTTGCACCGCCATTGATGGGGGGTGCACCAAGCCGGGTGCCATTTATCTGCAGAGAAATGCCAAGCAGTCAAGATAAGTGCATGGAATAGTCGCGGACGCCATTCGAATGATGGGCTGCAGGAGGGGAAAACGTACTCTGACATGTCTGAGAATAGTGCCATCGCAATTTTGGCATTGACCTATGGGAAATGATGAATCATTGAATGTATACGTCAGAAACGGCACGAGGTGGAAGAAGGAAAATCCGTTTGAGATCCGTCCTCACCATCTACTGCCGTAGTGTGCCCGACACCATTCGCTACTGGGCCGTTGATGAGAAGTATCGCGCGCAGATCTTCGCCGTCCTCGCCTTCAACAGGCAGCCCAACAGTTGAAATCTCTTGATTAGGGGCAAAAAAGTGAATGGGAGCTTGGATGGTGTAGGTGGTGTTCTGACAAAGCCTGAGGCGATACCCAGGCCCAGATGTGTTAAGAGCAATGTTGAGACGATCAGTTAAAGTGTTCATGGGGTCAGGGCTTATGCAATCTGTGATATTATCATTGCTATTGCCCGGGAGGGGGCATTGATCAGCGATAGTGCCGCCATGAGGATTGGGAGAAAGCACACTCACGGCTGCAGGAGATGCGACCCTAGTTCAGCACGAGGAGCTTTAAATGCGCGAGCACTAAGTGTCAAAACCGTTGAAACAAGAGACAAAAGGGCTAGAGAAAGCATTGTAGCCCTTCTCAACAGACCAAATGAGCGTGAGGAGGGAGGGAACGAGGGAAAGAGAAGAGGGAATGAGTGTTGGGGACTGAAGCGAGGTTGGAATAATTCTAACACTGCGTATGACACGTGATTTAGTTCCTTGGCGCTTAATTCCTTGGCATCCTGGTCCTTTCGAGCTAACGGCTCAAACAAAGACTTCCATTCACATTGAAAGCTCCACCTTATTTCCCTGTTCGACCCTTTTCGCCTTTCCCGTTGCCATCATTTCTGACTCTTTCCTTTTTTGGGCACGCCATCAAGCGTGATTCAGCGGCAAATCGTGGGACGTTCCCGACTCCGAGTTTACACCCCAAACAAACTACACAACATGGGGTAAATATATACGGCGCTAGCGACGACGATGAGTGTTGCAATCAAGACCAATATTGCACAAGGCCAGAATTGAATGAACGAAGGAATGAATAGATGATATCTTTTTCCTGCGATATTTGTGCGGCATAGGCCATAATCTAATCATTCTCCGCACCCGAGGGACACGATACGGGTTCGTCCGTAGAACTGAAGCGCAAAATTAAAAAGGATGCTACTTAGCAACGAACATTGATTGGATGAGGAAGTCAGTACTCGTGTTAACCATGCACGACATGACCAACCCCAGCTCAACCAGGAAAGAGTGTTCAATTCACTCCGATAGTCGTCCTGAGAAACAAACAAGAGGCAGTGAATCTGAATTTGCATCAGCAGATAAATATATATCCCTCGTGCAACGAAAGCTGCTATGTAATCGATATCGTTATCCCGAGAAGCGAGTGCTGATGTCTCGTCTATCTAGGGCTGGTCTGATTGCACGCTCCTCAATGGTCCCAGTCATTCAAACGCCATCAACCCTCTCCATGAGAGAGCTTCTCGGCGATCCTGATGACAGATGAGATTAACAAGAATATTCTAATAAGCTGCATCGGGGATCACAGGCAATGCAAGTAGCATCCAAAGGCAGAGTTGACGAACGCGAACAGTTTTCAGTGCACCAGCGTCCATCAGCGATGTGGCTTGAGTGACTGCTCTTGGGAGTACGGACCCAAACCCCTAACCTTAAGCTGCCGATCGCCAATCACTTCTATCATATGTACAGAATACGAGCCTCTACCCACAAGAACGAGTCGTGCTATTAGCTGTAGTGCTGCTACTTGGGAGCGGCATAACTTTCAGATCAACCCGGGCACGGCGCCAGAAGCTGTAGCCATCATTGGCCGGATGCCACTTCACCGGCGCGCTTGAGGATGCCGGCCCCGTACCCCCCGAGACAATGCATGTACGGCGCCGCTGCGGACCAGCTCCATCATTAAGCTGATCCACAAACATTAGAGAACCAGGCCAGAAAATGAGCACTCGGAATGTCGGATGAATGAACCCATATATACGCTAACTTGCAGTATTCGCCATGCTTCTCATCATGGCTCGATTAGCACAATCGCTGTTCCCAGTTAAATAAGCTACAAAGTCATTCCGCGCGAAAATGCGAAGAGTGCAGTGTCAATACTGATGCAAGAAGGGGAGAAATCCCGGGGCATTTTGATGGTGGATGTCACTCCAGTGGATGGCGCTGGATGGTTTCCAGGGCAATAAGTAAAGCGCAAATCATAGACACAATGGGATTGTGTGCCAAGTTAGGAATTGCCGTCGGCAGCTAAGCTAATTGGAGATGCAGTATAGTAGAGTTGAAGTCTGAGACTCATACAACTCGTCAGCATCAGGGCGGGATGTTGGAGAACACTGGTGTCGAAGAAGTTCGTTATCCGAGGAGTAAGAGTTGACGTCAATGGTGACAGAAGTCAAATAGTGATGGGTGATGCAGTTCTCCATCCAATAGATGATTGTGCGAAGAACTGAGGCTTAGTAAAAAAGCATATACTTGGGCCAGCAGCATGCACAGCTGGTCTTGCGCTTCTGACGACGCAGAGATTTGCCGGCCGGGTGATGGCAAAGTGGGAGGCTGTGGACCGACGTCTCCATCAATTCACTGCCTCGAGTTGTAAAACGACTATTAAAGGCGGTAACTTGCCCTGGCCCCAGGGGCACCTCCACAATATTGAGTTTCCAACCTCAGTTGTACTACAGCCCAACCCCCAACTCCCTATCATGAGCTCAGAGTTGAAAGGTCGAGTGCTTCACTTGCACACATTGATTGTCGTCGGTGTAGAGATCATCTTCATCCTCGCGTTAGTACAATCATTGTTTAGACAATTACGTCTTCTTGTGCTCATCACCACCACTCAAGCGTGGATCCACTCCCCAATGCCCGTGATTCCTACGCGATCTCGATGTTCGTGAAATCGGGTCGAGTGGAGAGGCGAGTCGGCCACCCGCTACAACTGAAGCTCAGTTTCGACCCCAAGGATGCCGATTTTGAAATATGGTGATCCCTCCATCCTTCCCATCTTTCTCATACAACGGTGACTTAGAGGTTACTTTTTTTTAAAAAAAAAAAACAGCTTGACCCCTAAAAGTGGATTTCCCCGCGACTGTTTGTTTGGCCTTCGAGTTTGGCTTCGCGTCTCCACCATCTCTCCCGACAACCAACAACCCACTTTGTTCAGGCACCGCCTTTTCAGCGAGGAATCATTCTGGATTTCGCGAAGTCCTAACTTTAAGTTGAGGTGGGAAGGCAGTTTTCTAGCCCAACCATACATCGCCAAGGAACGACAGCATGTGCACTCAGCCGTCATTTCCGGTGTCCCTCTCTTATTCATTGCGAAGTGAGTTGTGTTCATCCCTCCGTGCGTTACCCCTAACTTAGGCTTCAGGCTCTCAAATGTCGAAGGGGACAAAGGTGACCCCGCCGAGTTCCTGATCTCCCTCGAGTACGAACTTGGTGGTAAGTTTTCGGTATCCCCGTTGTCTTGCGATGTCACTTGATGCGATCATTCCCATAGGCGTTACCCGCACTCTCTGCCGAAATATCGATGCTCGAATAACCTGCCCTCTGACAGACATCTCATTCGTCATTTACACTATCCCCGCACGCCAAACAACGACCGGGTCGATGCACCGTCTGTTCCTCTGGATCAAATCAACTGCATCACCCCCTCCCCCGACATCGTACCGAGGCAGTCCCAGCCAGTCCATTGTCTACCAGCGCATCTGGAAGACAGACTCATTCCACATCACGGGACTCACTCTACCCCTTCATCTAGCCAGTGATGAAACGATATTCGCAAGACCTGATTCAAGAAGCCCTATGGTGTTCGAAAAAGATGAAGACGGACGTTCCACGGGGAAGGTTATCCCCGCTAGAAGACAATCCTCGAGCCATCGGGGTTCATCGATGGAAACAGCTGTAGCTCCACCCCAACCTCCTACTTCTTCCAATCCTAGGCTGCTCCAGCATACCCCAAAAGCCTTCTACGGCGATTGGCAAAATACGACCGTATCGATCCCTCTACCCACCCCCCCTGGACCCCTAGCAGCTCCTATTGCTCGCCCTTACAATGCAATCATCCCTCCGCGAGATTCTCTGGGCCCGCCTCTGCACCCTTACCACGGTCGCAAGTCGGCATCGCCTGCCTTCGGTAGGGCCTCCTCGGATCCCTTACCCCTTGAGAGGCAACAGATTTCCGCCACGAACGCTGATGATGTCGAGGGGGGATTATACGAGCGGTATGACGGGTTGGGTGTGACTTCCATTCAGACCTTGCGTGATGGGAAAGGGGATCAAGATGGAAACGCGTCGTACATGAAGAGAATCCTAAACGCAGACCTGGAGGGCGATTTGATCGATGACGATGAGGAGGCCTCGCCTAGTTATGAGGCTGTGATTGGAGGCCACTCTGGAGCGTTCCCAGAAGAGAAAGCTGTGCCCAGAAGGTGAAGGACTTTGAACGTTATTTATTTGCATTGTGTTGTTGTATCGGCTTAGTCTGTACTTGTGTAACGAGATATAGCCCCTCACCAACCACCTTCCCCGTCTTTGTAAGCCTGAGGCATTGCAATTTGCGGAAGTTGCAAATTTAAATATATTCCCCTCCGGAAACTGTACCTGCATGTATCATTGTATATCATCACACATGAAATCGCGAATCCAATTTGCGGTAGCGGCTAGTGAGTTTTTACCCTCCATGAGATCTAGCCGCCGACTACCTTTCCCACTACATATCGCAATACTGCAGGAACCCGCTCGGCTCCCGCAGCCCGGTCCACATCCCCCCATGCTTCATTAATCGCGACACATATGATCCCTCCATATATAGGAGCGCTAGTCAATTATATATATATGTTATATGCATGGACTACCCGAACAACCAAAACGGAAGATGCGAACCATGCACTCAGCACTCCCAGAACATTCACCTATCCATAATGTTGATGACGATCATCATCATCATCACCCAAAGTTTGGCGCCGGTTTCGAAATTTCATAATTAACGGCCTCCTCATCTCGCGGCGGTGGGGGTCTGACACCGTCACCCAGACGCCTCGCTCAGAACTGTGTCCAGGAAGGCCCTTAAAAACTCGGGGGTGGGGGAAGCCCGGAATATTGTGCAGACCCATCGGGTTAATTTCGCGGGAAAAACCCAGAAACCAGGATGATATCAGACGTCTAAGTAAATCTGCGGACTCGGAGACTGGCTTGAAAACAAAGAAAGATCCAGCCGGTTTATCGTTAGAGGAGAGGTGTCGCGCTTCGCACAAGCAGATGAGCATCTCCAAAATGTTTATCGAGGACGTTTATATTCAAAGAATAGGTTTCAGAACGAGCAAGCTGAAAGACTCCGTCCACATGCCCACTCATGCATATGCTCCGGCTTCCCTAGCCAATATCATATTACTTACTGCCATATGAGGGGTGTAGAACAAACGCATTAGAGAAGTTGAATTTGGGAAGTGATTTGAACTGTGAACTAAAAAAAATAAAAACGTATTGTGGCGCTTGAAACAGGCACATAGGAAATTTCTTTCAGAAAAAGAATAACGAACAGCCGGATGAGGAATACGTGGAATAGTCCTGTAAGAAAGCGGAAACTGTGGTATGAATCTCGATCTCGTCCAAAATCGGTCCCAAAACCCGGAAATTTGGAGGTCAAAGACGACTGAGACACAGTTTTGAGCGGGGCTTAATTCTAGAGTCCTCTCACACCGCGGCTAGTCACACAGACTGAAACGGAAGACTTGCATTCTAAGGTGGGAGATGCAATCCGGGGAATCTATCTACCTAAATTGGGAGACGCAACTCGATTTCAACTACCAATCAAGGAGCTTAAAGCATCAATGCATTCATTCTTTTTTCAATGTATCCCCGGCCCCCGCCTCCTCATGAGCCACTGTTATCATGGGTTGCTCCCGTTCACAGTATGTGACTTTCGGAGTCACCAACTGTCCAAACCATTTTCGCAACCCCACAGGGGATAAAAGATCAGACAGTTCCGCTTCTGCTCTCTTCCCACACTCGCTACCCGCCTTTCGTTCTTCATCCTTCCCTCCAACACCATGTCCAGCAGTCCTTCAGGAACACGTTCACCTGAGGATTCACGAACACAGCGCAAGTACAACCACGCTTGCTCTGTTTGCCGCGAATCGTAAGTAACTTGTCACCATGGAATGAAGGCAAGCCAGGCACTGATGACTTTGCTCTAACTCAGGAGACATAAACGGAAGTGCGACAGACAATGGAATATCGAAGGCGCGAGATGTTCAACTTGTCAGAAGTTGAAAACTGAGGTAGGCTAGATCTCCTTGATGGAGCGAGGCTTTGGCACCATACTTATTCAACGATTGTAAAGTGCATTAGGCCTACCCTTAAACCTCGAGGCTCAAGGAAACCAGCGAACACCTTGGCCGGTGGCCATCTCATCGCTTCTGGTGCGTTAGCTCATGGATTCGCATTCGTGAACGATTCAATTCCTCATGCCCTTTGAAGACCCCCTTCTAGAAGGCTCATCCAGTCGAGACCGTCGTCGAGAACAGGACATCCAACGAACCCCTGCATATGTGCTGCAGGATACCGGAATAGAGGAAGGCATCCGCCACGCAAATCTCCTCTTCCCAGGCGTTTTCCACCGAGAACGCTTCGAGCAACGCTCCCAGTACTCAAGAGACGTGAACAACGACGATCATGAACATTTCAGTTTCATGTTGCTCGTCGTCTTTCGTCTCATTGGTAGGGGGGCCTGGGAGGACGGGTTGAGAGAGCTTCTGGACGTTGCCAAAGAGGCATATGGAAAGGAATCTGAAATCCCGACGCTGGCCACCGTTATGGCCACCATTCTACTGTCGTGGTGGCTATCTAAGTCGAGGGCTCAAAATCGCTTTGGTAAATATATACCCCCTGAATGGAAACATAGATGCTCATCACCCCCCTCGCTCGTGGCTTTAGCAAAAGATCTACTAGGCAAGTTGTTTACTTGGTGTATGCGCATCCACGAGTTGCTGACAGGAAAGTTAAAATTCTAACCACATCAGCTAACGCGCAGGCATGTCAGTGCCCATCTTGGTCCGTTCAAGTATCACACCACTGACCACATCGCAGGGCTGGGTTCGTATGATGAGCGCGACCTTCTGAAGAGCGTATCGCACGACAAGATCCGCCAGCTCCTGGATACAGTCAGTGATCTTGTACGTAAGCGGATAGCAGGTTAATTTCGCAACTGAAACCCTGTGATACCTGGTTTGTGGGGAAACGTCCAGTTGCGTGTCCACCACAATAACGATTCAATCTTGGGGATTCGATCGTCCCCAGACCTGGTGGATTCCATGCCAAGACAATCCTCCTCGCCAGCGGGAGGGCTTGCGCCAGCTGGGCCCCATTGCCAGCCCCCCCTCCCCAGTCCGCAGGATCCAATGGGCCCTCCCAACGTCCCGGGAAACCTCTCACTATTCGGTTCCACTGCTCTGGGGGTTCTGCTTTCAGGGGTATGTCATAACGATGATGCTGGCTTCATGCTCCGCAATCTTCATCAAGCAACTGACCACTAGCTCTGATAAGCGTCCTAGTACCGTTGCTCAACCATTGAGCAATGAATCGTACCTTCGTCGATATACGAGCCTACTGTCTGTACCGCCTGTACCGTCTGCGCCGAGCCCGCAGCAGGAAAGCCGGGCTGCCACCCTCTACCCCAATGGTACGATGCAAGCGCCCGAGGAGTATACTGGAGCAAAGATAGAGCCCCACTCCAACGTAAACCCATTATGTGCTCCAGATGATACACTCTTTGGGCCTTGGGATGAAGCCGCACGCCGGAATTGGTCATGAACGTGTGCATTGTTGTGCTTTCCTATCTACTCGCTGGATCCGCTGCCTGCGAGCAGGCACACCGACGAAGTAAATGTTCGATTTCTTAGTGAGCGATAAAAGATGCTTTTCATACCAATCAATTTCATTACGTTGTGTCATGCCAGCCGTGTCCCCAACATAAGTATACTTGTTAGTAGAGGCTGGGATCCTGCCTAGTATACTTGACGGGCATGAAGGTGCGTTGTCAGAGTGCTTTCTGCGAGCTTCCTGGACACGTTAGAGATAAAGCGAGTAGAAGGTAGTCGGTGTTGTGAGCGTTCGCAGAGGGGTGAGACACAGCCAAGGTCGAATTGCCTGGACACCTGGACTTCTGCTGTCTGTGCCGATGTGCGGCTACTAAGCATCTCGTGATGCGTTCCGTGGGAAAATGCTTCAGTTATCAGCTGCATTATTTACCTTTCAACCCGTTTGCGTCTTTTATTCTGCGTCGAAAGTCCTCACAACGATCCTGCTTTATTGTATCCATGAGTGCACTATTTGCTACATTTTTTTTTTACTTGTACTGCTAGGACTACAACATGGAGACAAGCTTTTGGTTCTTCCAGTAAGTTTTACAGACTGCTATTATCAATGCGACTTTGACCTCAAACCTTGACATTGTTAGCGAAAAAGCTGTCCCACTCGGCTGCACCCCATCCCGAAGAAACGTCGCTAACGAAGATTCCATCCCAAACAGCACTTGGCGAAACATGAATTCCATTTTGACGGCCTAGTTTGACTTGGAGAAATCGTAGCCGGTTAAACCCCTCCAAAGAGCGCCATATATCGCAATGATTATTCCACACTCACTGTTCCATTTCAAGTCGTTGGTGACGTCGATGCCTCCATTGGGGGATCCTTTATACGTGAGAGCATCCTTGATCGCTGGAAGCTTGGATTTGTCGATCGAGGGTACTTCTCCTGCAAGCGCAACGAGTTTTTCGCGGATCTGAGTGGGAGTCAAGTCCGCAACGGCGCGGTCAAAGAAGGCTTCTTGGTTCTTAAAGAACTGTAGGAGACGAGTTGAAGAAAGGAAAAAAACCGAAATGGATAAATACATGTGCTTGGAAGGGATGCTATAGATAGAATGGACGTTGGACTTACGACCGAAGTGTAGTCGAAGAAACTTTCAGGGACGACTTTGCCGACCGCTAGAGCGGCTTCGTGCGTGAAAGTCGAGGATCCGTGCCTTTACGTTATTCGTACATCAGGGGGGGAGGGGGTGGATGACACAAAGGTAGCATATGTATGATGACGCAATCCGTGGGCAGGGTTGGGGATTACGCACCATGGTTGGACCTGGAGACGAAGGAGAAGCTTGACTTTTCCCTTTAATGCACCGGTGGTCACTGCAGGAGCGAGGATTGGCACTATGGAATTCTTGAAGATCTTGGCTGGAGTTTGAACGATCGAGGGTGACGTCCATCGGCGCGAGAGATAATGAGCGATAAATGATTCACAATGTGCCAGTTATATACACACACCTGAGAAAGGGCAGACATAATCTAGCCAAAGTTCAAGAGTATGAACTGCATCGGGCGCTCCGATGCGGAGGAAAGAGAGGTGAGGAAGAAGTGACATGTTCGCTAAGCAGGTCGATGAGGTGATAAGAGAGAGGTAGTGATTTTATGAACTCGGATCAGTGATCCTGGCAGAGTGTGTAATAATGGCGTGACGTTGCATGTGGTCCATGACTACTGAAGAGGCTGATTTCATTATCTCAGCTTTCGATCAAGTTCATATCAGTTTCTCACGTTCACATGCAATTTCAAATGCTCCACGTTCTCACAAGCACGTGAGCTGCCCCATAGATTCAGAAGATTCAAGGAACCTGGGTGTTAGGCTGAAGCAGCCTCTACCGGGGTGTCAACTCACGCGACAACTTTTGTCGTGAAGGGATGCTCAGGTCTTTTCTTACCCTGTCTCTTCTATCCTCCTTTTGGTTACCATGCCATGGGTATTTCAGCCAGGGATGGCAGCCGGGCCAACCAGTGACCAAGTTCTTGGCCCCCACCTCCACCACCACCGCGGAAAGCGCGTTTCCGACCGACCCAGGAACTGCGCCCGTGAAATCTCATAGCTGGAAGGATTTCAAGTTGGGTTTGGAAGACATGCTGACATCTGGGCCCGTGTCATCGGTGCTCATGCGCTTCGGGTTCAACATCTCCGAAAAACTCGCCCTCGCTCGAGAAGGCGTGCCCCCTCGATTTGCACGTGAGATACCCCTAATAACGGATAGCAACTATGAAGACATGATCCACAATGAGGACTTTACGTCACTGGAGGAGGAAAAGAATCGCGTGTGGGCTATTCTTGTGTGCGTTTCGCGTTTCCTTCTATTTTTGGGGTGTAGAGAATGCTTTCTCATTAACTACCGAAACTTTCAAGTTCTGTGGGTAGCCAAGATCCTGTCTCCCATTTCTTCGACCAAACGTTCGATGGTGCGCACAATCTCACCGTTCAAGTCGGGGATGCGGACCATATTCGTTGGGGGCGCGTCGATTACTTGGACGTCACTGACATTACAACTCGATGGGTCATTTGGAGGCAAGTATCTCTATTTCAATCATACTTAACCCCCGCCGTCGCTCACACCTTCACCAATTCAGGGCACCAGTCCTAGTCATTGCGACCGACCGCGGCTTGACGCTCCGATTCTTCAAAATCGGAGCGCTTTCGCGGATGAAAAGCCCAGAAGAAATGCGCCACTTTGTCATCAGTCGTGAATGGGAACAAACTACCCCCTGGTCAGGACCATGGAGCCCCCGAGGAAGTCGGTGAGTTGGTTTCTTCCTAGAGTTCTCCCTTCATATTCGCAAATACCATTAACAAGAGTGTATCCCTGACCGACAAAAAACAGTGCTGGGTTCCTTGCCAGATACGCAAAGATGTCTACCATGATTTACACCTACTTGAATTCGATCCCCCGTTGGCTGTTGCTCCTAGTGACCGCGACGACTGCATCTGCTCTCATCCAATTCTTACATGCTAATGACGCCGAAGAAGCGAAAGCACGAAAGAAAATCATTTCCACTGTTACTGATGCGAAGGAAAAAGACCGGGAAAAACAAGAGGAGGATCCCCAAAATTTGAAAGGGAAGACTAGTGTGAAGACCAACAACCCCCTGACGAAGAGGAAGAGGAGGGAGTAATGATCCATGCCGATTCCCTTCTGCACGCCGGTCCGGCGCTACTGGGATATTGTTTTGTATTTAGTGTACACATTTGTGAGTGTGCTTTACTTAGATTGATTGTGTGTATTGCTATGTGCTATGACACATTTTTGGGTATTTCCTTTCTCGGTATCTCAGCATTTTCTCGAGGGCTTATTTACGTATAAGCTGATGCTAGGCAAATTGCATTTAAGCATTGAACGCGTAGCAGGACCCCCGGTTATGCTATGACCAAACCGACGATAGTATCCTTGGAATCATTGCATTCCTCTCCTTGCCTGTTCGGCTCGTCCTGCGCGGCCTTTGTGCGTATGTAACATTCTGCTTGACGGATTTCAAATTGTTCCGAACAAAAGCATGAGTTGTTGGCTGGCCCACAGCCGCAACCAACGGGATCATTGGATTTTGGCGAGCCTTTTGTTGAGGCTTTAATATTGTTGCTAGCTTCGACTTACGTCAACGCAAAGGGCATTTCACGCGCCATCAGTCCGAAAGGTTGCATTCCCAAAGCAAGAAAGGGCCACCGAGCGGGGTGGGGGGGGGGCAGATCCTTAGCAATGGATGTTATTTGGCCCCCCACACCAGGGACGAGCTTAGCTATTGCACAAAGGCGCTGGCGACTTCCCGTTCGTCCAGATTGAGTGTACCGCCTACGCTACATTTCTTCGCTGCCCTCGCCACGGGACGGAATATAGGGTGTCTCCTTGCTGCTAGTAATGCGGGTCTTGCGCAATATCCATATCTTGCGGCGATTGCTTGGAATGCTAGGATTTACAGATCCGCCAACTTCCTTTCTTAGCCTCATTCGGTTGTTGCAGGGCCTTGGCCCTGACGGTGTTAGGCACGTCTATTCAGATTCTGTGGTGGCCTCGTTCCACTGCTGTCAAAGTCGTTGCTTTGTTGTGGCTCATTTGGCAGATCCTAGCTGGTTGTGCGGCAGCATAAAAACTAGACTGAGCCAACGATTGGTGGCTTCACTTATCGCCTGGAGTGTATGAGTATGAGCACTGACAAGCAATCGCTCCAAGTAAGCATTTTTTACACTTGTTGTTTATGCTTCTGACAGCGTATGCTCATAGCAAGAAAAATTGAATACATCGGTAAGTCATGGCCAATGGAGCATTCAACGTTGCGCTGGGTACTGACACCTGGATTTCCAGTCGTGCTCACACGAAGATGAAACCAAGTGGCAAGAAGCCGTCAATGAGTTCATAGATCACGACAGAACCATCGTCAATGGCTGGCTAAGTGCACTGGATATGCTCATGCTTTTCGTACGTGAAGCGTTTGTCGATAGCCTAAGATGCTCATAATTATCCAGGCTGGACTCTTTGCTGCCATTCTATCCGCATTTCTCATCGAATCGTCCCGGGACTTGAGGGCCAAAGATATAACCGTTCTATCCGATCAGATAGCTCGGCTGCTCTCTAACGTCACTTCAACGGATGTCGGCTCTGAAGTTGGTGATTCCGGGGGGCGATTTCATCCATCGACTACCACTATCGTGGTGAATCGCTTATGGTATTCTTCCCTCGGCATTACACTCAGTTCTACCGTCATCTTGATGCTCGCCAAACAATGGCTAGAGGAGTACAGGACATCAGGAATGAGCCTGAAATTCTTGAATGAGGACTCGCTAGAGGGGATTAAACATCAAGCATCTCTTGTGGCGTATCGGAGCGCAGGGCTGTCACTATGGATAGTTCCTGAAATTATTGGGGTGCTTCCTATTGCATTGCACATCGCGCTACTTCTCTTCGCAGGTGGACTCATTGGTTACCTCTGGAATGTGGATCGAGTTATTTCGATACTTGGCGTTGTTTGCACCGCGCTCCTCGAGATGTGCCACGCGACGTCACTAGTCGTACCCGCGATCTTCCCAAGCTGCCCATACAGAACTCCCATCTCTCATCTCTTTTCGAATATCGAAGGCGCGATTCTAGTCTTTAGTTATTGCGGTGTTCCCACAACTGGCAAAGGGAGCTTCACAAATCCTTCCTCCACCGAACGACGCACTATTTCTCCCATGAAAATTTCATTCCATCAATATTATCTCCGCTTCGTGCAAGGTGAAAGCCGCCGTGTATGGAGTAGCCTGTCGGTGCGAGACACGTTATATCACAAGGAAACATACCAAGTAGAACAAAACGTGGAGGATTGGCAGATCGAGTTTCTCACACTATTCCAGGAAAGAACAAGACGTCCAGCAATGCGGGAATGGGCCTTGAGGACCCGGGAGCATATCTCGGAGCTTCGAACCAACGCACTCCAAAACCACCCCCCGAGTTCATCCATATCTGATATTACACTAGCAGTCACAAATGTATGAAAGAGATCCTGTCAGAAATGACGGAAGCACCTGGTGCGTTCGGGTTGACTTGACGATAGACCACTGGGACAAACACACTTGCGGGAAACCGGTTAATAAGTACAGGATCCGAGACTAATCTCTGACATTCCTACCAAGGACTTATGTGGTTTGTGATTTTTGTTGTTTGGGCTTAAACCAGTGTCTCCTTTCAGCATCATTTTATTGCAATGGTATTATTGTACATCACCCTTCCTTTGGCCATCTGTATATATCTCTGCTGTTGCGATTGCGTGGCACAGTGGCGAAGACCAGCTCGTGGAGTTCAAGTGGAGGAAACATGCATGGCATTCGGAATAAGGACTCTGGATTGCATTCACAAATATTCTGGGAGCATGACACCAATAAAGTGTTAACCGCGTCACGTACGATATGGCCAATGGCCGAAGACACATGCGGGAAAAGAGAGAGACCCCATGGCAGCGCCTTAGATCCAATAGGAAATAACAACGGTGCCAGGCTCTTCACAATACTAGGAAAATGATTGGACATGCATTGGACGTACTAAACGACTTGGCTAATATCGACGACCACCGGGGCTTTCAGTCTACCCTGGAGCAGAAATCGGGTTCCATCCCTGCTTGCCCGAGGAAAATACACACCGTCGTAGTTATCATCAACCTTGAGCATCACATTGCCGTACCAGGCTTCTTTCTCGCTGAAAGAATTTTCGGTGCGTTCGATTGGGCTGCAATAAGGTGGGACAGTGAGTTCGTCTTCCCCACTGAACCAGACCTTGTATCGTGGAGGGCTTCTGGCGGCGATAGGGAACCTTCCCATTGTGGAGGAATAGGCTTTAATGAGGTCTGGCCCAGTTAGCTTATAAAAGGGGCGCTTCAACCAAGGTTCGTCCGCATCATGCCCTAAATCTGGCTTGGTGCTTGATACACATGTTGCACCACCTTCTGGAATCAAAAAAAGAGTAGGGTTGCACAGTACAGGCATAGGGACGTCATGCAGGCAAGGGGGTTCAAAACCAGTGATGAAAATCCAAGTCGTGAAATCTTGCACACGATATTGAGCCATCCACTGGTGTGAATTTGTTGACCAGACGAACGCACAGCTTGCGTCGTAAGCACCAACATATCGGCCCCCTGGAGAGAATCGAACTGTGTGGCGTTGAGGGATGGATAGATCTGAGTGAGATTGGGGAGACTGGGCAGGGGAAGGAGTGGAAGGAGATGCAAGGAGCTGAATGGATGGCATTCCCAAAAAACGTATGAGTGCTGTGTTCTCGTACCAAGCCTGGCCGAGATTTTGTGGGACTCGTATGATGAAAGATCCATCGTTCGACACCACAGTTACAGCAGGGAAACAACCGCTGGGGAGAGTGCCAAGCTTCACCAAACTTGTTCCAGGACCAAGAATAGTGATGTTTCCGTCAGCATCCTCAGTAGCAATCTGGGCATTACCACTGTGGATAAACTCGATCCAAACCGGAGGCTTGGGAGGACTGTATTGGAATCTAGAAACTATACGCTGATGGTCGATGTCGGCAACCTCAATGACCCCATTTCAAGGCCAAGGGCGACATGAGAACCATTTTGAGAGATTGCTGCACAGGTCACGATTCCGTTGCGAACATCATGTTCAGCGAACTCGGCTTCGTAATTAGTTTCTTCCCTGCCGTGTTCATCGAACTTCTCTGGCAGTTCAGTCAGTTTTGCCTTCATGACCTCTTGAGCCACACGTGCATCCTCGCTCAAAGGAATTAAGCCACCGGAAAACTTGCCGGATATACTGAAGACTTGAACGGGATCTGAGAGATGGCCATACACTGTGGGAAGTAAATGGCCGTAAAAAACCATTTTTGGTCTGGTTTTTGACCATTTACCACTGTTTTCGTGATATTTTTTTCATTGTAAATTACAATATACGTTTCACGATGCTAAATACCAGACTCTTCCCTGCGTAAATTACCACTCAATTCATGGTATTCGAGCTGCGATGTATTGTACAAAGGTCAGAGGTATGGACGGCCGGAGTTCGGTTAGTCATCGTCGTCGATTGACCTTGCGAGCTCGCAACTGCGATCGATGATGGCCCAACGACGTGAATGCGTACGTACCATAGGGAAATCGGCCACATACTGAAGAGACCGAAGCGAGAGCGATAATTTGAGTGTAGTAAAAGAGGTCGGTGCCAAGGCAGCATCCATGTAAGCACCGCTATCTGTCAGGGATCGGCCCCTGACCCCGCTGTCAGGGCACCCAACCACACCCCAGAACCACCCTCCCAGACTTCCCCCTCTTCCCTGACCTCCCCATCCCTACATATCTCTCACCTTGTGCATGGGCGAAGGCGTAACGGATAGCGTGGCAACAGCCCCGACAGGAAGTCGAAGCCTCTTGATTTGAAGCGAGCCGGTAGATACAAAAACCCCCCCCCCAAAAAAAAAGGAGGCGATGGGGCAGGTGGAGGGTAACGATGAAGACAAGTGAGAGTAGCAGCAGAGAAGCGCCAACAAAAGAGAAGAAGTGAAGTTACAAAAACAAGGCATGAGCCGAAAAGAGAAAGACACCGTAAACATCCGGGATCCAACTCGCAAAGGGTAACCAAGGCTAACTGCCTTGTCCAATGCAAGACCAAATATTCAACGCCAACCAACCACCCTAACCAAAACTAATAAGAGAATTAGTTAGAAATATATGTCAGAGTTGTAGAACAAGAAATAAACTCCAGCGTGCGCGGATGCAAGAGAGATAAAAGACTGTAGAGCAACAGCGTGCAGCGGACGCGAGAGGTGGTGGCTGAGAAGCCAAAGCGTACCGTGGACGCAGAAGAGAAGGCACGGAGGCCAAAGCGTACAGCGGACGCGTGTAAAGAGAAAGAAAATAAACCTATGTACCGATCAAGCAGCAGAAATCAGAAATATGGACACAATTTCATACCAGACAACTAAGAAAAACTGAACATCGCGGATGAACAGTCTAAAGACATAAAGCAATGAATATTGCATACAGACGAGGACTTGACCTAGCAAAGGGCACGGTGGATACCCAGAAGAAAACTGAGGCGCATCTCGTGCCTCCATTAAATTTAAAAACTTCAGCCCGCATGTGAGCCCGCGGGAAAAATCACGTGGGTCAAGGCGAGCAACTCGCCTTAACCCATGTGACACCTTTTCCGAGTCGCGGGAACATGCTCGGCTTCTACCCAGAGTCACGTTACGAACTGTACAGTACACTTCCCTTTTATAGTAGCCAAGTGGGGAATAGGGAAACTTACCCTTCTTCTCAACTCAGTCCCTGCTTAGGCAAGTTGTAGTTACCTTCTGTAATACATGACAACTCAGTCCCCGCTTAGTCCCTTTAGTGAGTTTGAGGAGCTGAGGACAGGGTCTAGTGCCCAGGCACCTGGAACACTGCACACACCTAGGGCCGAGGTCAGGCTGTCCCCGATCAAGGACCGAGCCCTGACACTATCTGAGACAAGGTCAATGAGGTGATGCATGTTCTCACAAGCGACGTTTTGTGACGTGCTCGGGGATTTGAGTCCACAGCTACTTCAGCTCAATAGTGAGAGCCATGAAATTCAAACACTCCTACCCAGATGAAGGATAAGTTCCTAAATTTAATTCATCGTTTTTGGGCCCACATTGTGGAAACTTTGTCATCTCCCACGACAATGCGTGATTTCCCTAGCGAGGCATAACCAAGAGCTTGATTACTGTGGTATAACGACCATAGGTTCATTCCCACGGTTTTTGGGGATTGCTGGGTCCTACTGGTGTAGTTCATCCTTTGGTGCGACATGCGACAATCACTCTGTGAAGTTCATCTTCTTCTTAGCGCCACATCTCCAAGTATGACCAGAATGGAAAATCATCCTTTGATAGATACAGTGAGCCAGAAATTTCCTTTGGCCTCACAACACTAATGGATCCCTTCACTTTTGCCAGCTATATTGAACTGCTTGCATCCAAACCTTGTGATTCGAGGATGTTCTGCCATTGTTTATTGGGACTCTCCATCAGCAAAAGTCCATTATGCTCCGGAGCATCAGGAGTGGCTGGAGCATGTGGGAGACAAAACAGCAGATTGGGCACTCCTGGAGCCAATAGTGTTCTCCTGGGAGGGGGTTCATGAAATGATTAATAGAGCTGTACACATGGACTCAGTCTCTAACTTGAGAACTAATAACATTGTAACTCTTTACCTGTATGCATGGACTATAACATGGAGAGTACAGTCAGTTATACAAAAGTTAAAACAACAAAAAGGGATATCACCTCAGTCTCTAACTTGAGAACTGAGGGAAAGGGAAAAACCTAGCGCCCCACACTGTCAGGGACAGCTCCGAAAGCAGCGAGGTCCCGGCACGAGGGACTCAATGGGACAGGTGTCGGCTATGCGTAGCGGCGGTCCCATCGCAGGGTGAGCGTCCCCGACCACTTAGGCTGA